GGGGGCCAGGCCTCCCCTCCTTGGCCCTACAAACCACTCCAGACCCAAACCAGGACACAGGCACTGTGTGTGCCCCGCACAGCTGGGTCACACTGCTTTGTACAGATGCTCGCGTGCAAAAAAACTCTCACATAAGAGGCACACAGGAGGCACAGCAGGACTAAGCACAGACTCCTGCCACTCTCTGATTCCGGGACCATGTGCACCACCCCACTATCTCAGGGAGAAACCAGCCACTGGGAAAGCACCCAGCCACAGGGACACAAGGCACAGGACACACACTGCTCACAACCCCTTGGCTGCTTCCCAGCAACACACAGATAGCTGGAGATAAGCACCAATGGAAACGCTGGGAAAATCCAGCTGCTCACAGCTTTTATCTGTGGAGAGGGGTGATCTGTGCCCTGAAACCTCTCCCCAAACTCTGCCAGGGAAAGTCTTTGAAGCTTCCTACAGCCCAAACAGCTGATACGTAGCAGCAATGGCCACAGAGAMAAAACAGGAGAGGAAGGGAAGAAACTCTGCACAGCTGAACCCAAACAGAGTCTGAAATGTCCCTGCCACCAATCTTAGCCCCACTCCATTTGCACACCATGGGTCCAGTGACTACATTCTGGATACCTGAAGGACATAGTCCAACAAGAGTAAAGGAATATTTCCATCATTTCAGTATCTGAACAGATGGGCACCAMTATGAAATACCTCTTTGGAGTTGAGTCAAGGAAGACAAAACCTACTCCTCAGACCCCCAAATCCTTGTTCCTTATGAAAAAGACAGGCCATGGGACAGGTTTGGGCACAGGATGCCTGGAAAATATGTCCATCCCTGATCCCATCCAGAGCCACATATAGAGGTGCTCATGGATCTTCACTACTCCCACAACAAGGCTACAAGTGTTGACAGATCCAGGGAATTATTTGCTGCTACTGTAGTTAGAGGCACAGGCGTTTTGGTGGGAATCATCTGGTTTTGGAACATACTTGAAGGTGTGGTGCTTGATGATGTAATCATTGTTGTTGTCGGCAGTCTGGTGGTGGTGGTGGTGGTGGTGGGGGTGGTGGT